ACGAAACTAATCTATTGACTATACTTATTCCATAGATTTTTATTTGATTCAAGCATTAATAAAAATTATATCAATATATATAGCAAGAACCAAAAAAACGTATCTCAAACTCGGTCAACTTCGTAACAACATCTGCGTTGTTTCTGTAAAAAAAGAAAAATAGCACCAAGTTATACAGTAATATAGTAACAATAACAAACTTTAATACTAATAAAAATAATTGTTAATAAACTAATGTTACAGTAATTTAAACAACAAATTGGCTGGTTTTTCCAGATACAATGTAAATAAAAAAAAATATAATAATAATAATAATAATAATCAATAACATCATACCATATTTTAGTATTTATTTCATTTGCTGTATTTGTTATGTAGTAGAATGCGTAGGATTCATAACAAAACGAAAATGAAAAAAAATAACAAACTTTAATACTAATAAAGATAATTGTTAATAAACTAATGTTACAGTAATTTAAATGGCTGGTTTTTCCAGATACAATGTAAATAAATAAAAATAATAATATTAATAATAATAATAATATAACATCATATCATATTTTAGTATTTATTTTATTTGCTGTATTTGTTATGTAGTAGAAAGCGTAGGATTCATAACAAAACGAAAATAAAATCGTCCGATGAATATTAATTGATAGTTTAGTAACAATAGTATTAATTTTATTTGCTTTTAAGTAGCCTGTTGTTACTTATTAGAAATACAACAAAACATAAATAAAAAAAGTATGATAAACCGATTGACAAACTTGCAATGATAATTAGGCCTTGTTATATTAAATTTAGCGTTTCGAAACTCCATTGGCGTTCCATATATTTGTTGAAAACAAACCGCGACCGAAATGAAGCGCGACCGAAACGAAGCGCGAACGAAATGATCTGTATTCGTCAGCCCAGGCCAGGGCTAGGAAAACACGTCAACTAGCCAGCCCAGCTGGCCTAGGTAGGTAGCCAGAGAGTTGAACAGATTTGCTAGCGAAGGGAGCACAAAAGCGCACTGGGAGCTGACGGTTTAATGCTCATGCCCTAGGGGGAAAAAATCCGTTTTCTGCAATAGTTTGTTGGTGTTATTTGACGTCAGGTTTTTTGGTTTTGTCATGGTTCTATCTAAATGCGGATCCTAGGCCTAGTTCTACAGTTATCCTGTGCTGTAGGCCGAGTAGTGCCAAAGTGCGAGCCAGCGAGTCATGCGAGCCAATGTGCGAGTCATGCGAGCCATGCGAGTCAGCGAGTTATGCGAGTCATACACTTAATTTTTTTTTCAGGTTATCCAGTTTTGCAAACACGTAGGCCTAGCTTATCCTTTGGCCTAGTAGATGTAAGTAAATAAATAACAAACCGGGGAGCTTTGCCTGTGTAGTCCAGTCATGCGCAGTACATATACTTTTGGACTTGGTTGCTTTTTCGAATCGTCGATCCGAAAGTATGCAGTGCTGATAGATGTTGTAAAAATACAGATATACAAACAGTGACGTGA